CTAACGTGAGTAAACTAACTGATAGCATTAAGCTAACATCTACACGCCATGATGTATCTGCTGACTGCATCTGAAGATGAGCTTGTTCACATATTTCTGTAAGAAGAGAAAGACACCTGATGAAGATGATGCTAGCCAGGTAGCATTAGCCTTTTACTGACTCATATATGATGATGGTTCAGTGAAAAATAGTGTTCACACTGTAACCAGATGTGATGTGAGTGTAAATGATCTAACGTTAATGTTTAATGTATAAGACCAGTAACATCAGACAGGGAGGAGCAGGAGAGAGAGATGAGAGTAGAGGAGGAGAACCTAAAGGGGAGCTCAGGCTTCAGGCCTGGACCCTACATGGGCTGAAAGAAATAGTCAGTCCATGAATCTTTTTTTCCTTTCTTATTTTTTTGCATAATATACATGTCAATATTTCTATTAAATAAAAAATAAATAAATTCAGTGTATTTCCATTGTAAGAGCAGTGATCAATAATGCCACTGCACTCTGTCCTGACAGGAATGATCTGAATCAGGCTGCAGGGGATCAGCTGCAGCCTGGATGCTGCTGAGCCTCTCACAGAATTCATTGTTCATTCATTGAAAAATTCATTATTCTGAGCCTGAGTGCAAACTTTGCCACTGATTCTACAGCCCCATCAAGAAATTATTATTTATTGTTTTTATTTTTATTTAATTCGATTTTATTTATTTATTTATTTATTTTATTTTACTTTCAGCCTTTAAAAAGCCATTTTCAACTGGCCATTCAATTAATAGATTGCAAAAGTAAAATCTGCAGTCATTTGTTTATGCCGCCACAGCTCCTGGAGAGCCTGCTGCCCCCGCTGCTGGAAAACATCCTGGAGAAAACACTGGGAGGGTATGAATATATTTGAGGACAACTGTACTGTGGAAGTGGCGTCCACTTCCCTCATCTTGTCTGGATGAACCTTTAAAGAGCCGCTGAAGACTTCAGGTTTAGTGGCATCGTGTCAGTGAGGGTCCTCACAGAGATAGAAGGACAACATGTGTGTATGTAAATGGTCCTAATGAGCACTTGTGTGTAATTGTCTGTAATCAGTGTTAATGTGATTAAGCAGCAGCAGCGGCAGCAGCAGCTTCTTCACTGAGCTGCAGCGCCTCCCACAGGACGCAGCATGAACATCAGTGGTAAGAAACTAACAGACAAATCTGACCCTAAGACTGTATAAGAGTTTCTGTATCAATGTACACTCTATGTCTTACACATGCTGCTGCTGTAAATCCACAGCCAGTGGTTGTTTTGAGCAAACCTGTAAATGATGTTATCTGTGCAACACGTGAAGTCCACCGTAGAGACTGCAGGGTCCTGACCTGAATAGCTCAATTAGTCGCATAAATTTGCATTTTTTTTTTTTCAATATGTTAAACACCTAAATAATATTTCATGGTCCTAACTTACGAGTTGAATTAGTCAGATAAATGTACATTTTTATATGGAGTAATCGTGCCTGTGTGTTTGCTTTTGTGTGTGTTGTTTTGTCGAGCGCTTTACAGGAGAGGAGTTAAACCTGAAACTTCATGGTTTGGTCCCGTCTGGGAGTGATTAGATTTTGGGATCAATAAACGCATTGGTGCATTGGTTTTTACATTTTTCTATTTTTCTCTATATTGAAACTGGATGCTGGTACAAAACACATTTCACTGCACATTGTACCGTGTATAGACGTGTATGTGACACATAAAGCTTGTCTTGAATCTTGGCGATGGCTTCAGAGGTCAAAGGTCACATTTCCCAAAAACAGCTTCGTATGACTGGAAATGCACAAAAAGACATAAGTTTAGTAAACTAACTTAGGAAGACGTCCAAGACCTATAAACTGGTGATGGAACACATGACCCTGAGACAAAGGTCAAGGTCACACTGAAGGTCTTAAATCATCACACATTTTAAATCCATTATAACTTTAAAAATGTGAAACATAAACACACAGTTTATTACAATCAGAAGAAGCCATACTGGTGATGTGACATTTGACCTTGGACAAAAGGTCCAGCTCAAACTCAAGGTCATGAATCTTAGGTGCTTTGCCGTAATTACAGCAGAACGCTTCCCCTCTATGGAAAATATCTGTTACATGACAGACGAAGCTCTTCTTTCATTGTGAATCATTTTAAGGCAAAATCAAGTTGAGTTCATCTTCAGGTCGCTGCACAGTAAAACACAATCAGGTGCATACGTTGGGCAGCTATGTCCCTCTACTGGTATTTTAGGGTCCCAACTAATTTTGTAATTTAGTAAAATAGTTAAATTCTTCAGATAAAATTACAGTTTTATTAATGTTTTAGGGCCAGAAGTTACTACCTGAATTTCTCAGATAGATGTGAATGTTTTATTAGTATTTTAGGGTCCTAACTAATACTGAAGCGTCCGAACCTTATTGGTTAAATAAGTCAGATAAATGTGCATAATTGAAGGGTATCAACCTTAATATCACATTTTGTCAGATAAAATTAAAAGTCAGGAAATGCTTTTATAAAATTTTTATTTTAAAAATTTCTCTCATTTGACTTTATGTTTTAGCGTTTAATCCACGTTTCAGGGCTCTAAATAAGGATTCTAGCTAAGATTTCCTGAAATGTTTTTTATTCTAAACTACAAATATTTAAAATGGTGTCTGTGGATTTTTAAGTGTTCATATCAAAGCCTTCCTGAAACTTTTTATATTTTAAAAAATGCCCTAAAAATATCGTCACTCACTAACCTTTTGTTAACGTGAGCTCAAAGATGTGACTTTTCATTTCTTTTCATCCGTAATCAGAGATAATTTGATCCACTTGTCTGATGTCACAGATTCTGAATCAGTGATGTATCTAAATTAGTATGTTATATATATATAATTTTGTTGGGTGTTATCTTAATATTTATATTGTTTGAATTGAATTGATAATAATTTTACAATACAAAAAAATAAAAAATCATATTACTGGGTCTGAACCTTAAGTTTTAATACATTCAGGTACGTTTGTCTTTTATAT